CCTTGAAGCTCTTGTATGAAAATGAGAGTCTGACCACATTACACATCATCGCAACGAATGGAGGTCTTCACTGAAAATCGAAAAGGGTCATTCTGATCTCTCTCGACAGTCTCGCCCTACGAGAGTCTTCTCGTCGTAGACCCGCCTGGTCTATTTCTGGTCCTCTTTCTTGGTCAATCGGTGGTCTTTTCGTGTTCCTTACCAAGAATTGCAACCATAACCGTCAAACGTCTTTGATGATTCAATGGACACAATTTGTTTTATAACAGTTACACAGAAATACCATACGACAGCGAACTATTAGACACTCGATTACACGGCAAGTATACTTTATGTTCAAGTAAGACGTATATCTTACATTTACACAGTAATACTTTATGGTTTCAGAGAACTTTATTTATTTACACAGTATACTGTTATGTTCAGGGTGACTTTAATTTACTTCACCAGTAATACTTTACGTTACATATGTATAGATTTACGGAGTTATACAGTAGATACAGTATCATGTATCCAGAGAACTATATTATTTACACCATAAATAATTTATAAATTAGAAACTGAATTTACTACCACAGTAGCGCTTTATGCTTCACGGGCATACGAATCTGGGGAGTTACAACAAGTACTATTTGACATTGTACTGAACAGTGTCTAAGTACTCGCATGTAAAACGTATATACGTCAAATAGGTAGTTAGTAGAATTCTATATATATTATATATGAAATTACTAGGGTACATAAATAAATATTACAACCGACATGTCGTACCGTTATGTATGATCAATTACAAATGAGTGATTGAAGTCATGGCAGAAAAACGAAGGTGATGTACTAAAATACACAAAGCGTCTAGGACTGACTACTACACTTTATCATACGATGGGAATTTAGTCGAATCAAGTGTGGACTCAGTTTAAGTCCCTTCCACTAAAGTTCACGGTCTTATTTTGATCGTTATATACTGCAATTCATGAAACGTCCTGAGATAAATAGACACCTATTGTGTGCTCTTTCATCTTGGACATACCTTACAACGTTAAGTTAATGTTAACGTAACCTTAAGTTTGCGAGGAGGCTATTGTTACGAGCTAGCTGTCTTAGCTAACAACAGTTAGCAGCTAACGTTTTCTGCAGTTTGCGTTGCCCGTGAAAAACGTGATGTAGTTATTTAAGGGTATGTTAAATTAACGTTATTTTACAAGTTGAAAGAGTCCCGTTATTTTTACAAGTTGTGTTTAAAATCGTCAATGTAATGCACGTTAGAGGTTTTGTGTTGGACATGAAGTTAGCTAACGTTAGCTAACTCTACCAGGTTAGCATGTTAAGCTGTACTTTCTGTGGCAGCTAGCTTAATACAAAGAGGGGTTTTGTGCTTCATTGCAAACTTCTTACAAATGTGTGTTAATCTACCTGAAACTGTAGGGACAGTTTGTTTCTACTCAACTATACAGACCATTGTTGAGGAGATGCAAAACATACTGTACATGAGTTGGGTCCAACATATACCTTGAGTAATGTTACTTTGCTGCTAAAAATGAAACATCATTATCAGATGAGGACATCACCAAAGTGTGTGAGTCTGTCAGGGGGTTTTATCTGTTCTCTGCATGTTGTAAACACTGCTCTGGTATTACTTATCTTGTAAAATATAAGTCTCTCGCTCTTGTCATCGTTCAGGCTTTGCATTTTAACTCCTAAGACTGGTTGCGGACTTGAAGGGAACGACTTCCTGGCCTTCCTGACATCCAGGAAAAAGGTGAGATTCTAATACATTTGAATGCCAAAAGCAAATTATTGTTTTTAACTTTTTAAATATGATTGTTATGGGGCATTTCTGTTTTATTGGACTGAGGCAGTAGATATCTACTGGAAACAGTGGAGAGCGAGGAGAGGATATGCAACAAAAGGCCCAGCCGGATGGTTGCTGCTCCGTGTGGAACGTGTTAAATCAGGTAAAGCAATTTGGTACCCAGTTATTTATGGTATTGAGTTTGAATTTAGCATTTGGAATGTAATTTCCAACAGTGCATTGTAGGGCTGTCCCGAATACCATTTTTCGGGCTCCGGATATTCGGTAGTAATCAGCAGCGAATATTCGGTGCTGAGAGATTTGTATTTTTTTTTTATAAAAAAATTGTTCAAAAATATATATTTTTAAAAAAAAAAAAATTTGGAAAAGGTTTCATAACGCTCCGAATCCGAGACACCTGACAACACGCTGTTAAGCAGAAGCGCAGAAAGAGCATACTATTACGATTTATATTTATTTATTGTCTCAGTACTCGCAAACATTAAAACTAAATGTGTCCTCTGTAGGGTAACTGTAGGGTCTGCTGTATTGTTGAGGATGTTGATGGCTGGGATGCACACAAGTTATTATTAGGCTGAGCTACTCAACTTTATGCCATTGCCTTAGCCCCAGATGTTAAATAATAATAATAATGCATTACATTTTTTATTAGAACACTTTTACAGGTGCTCAAAGCGCTTTACAATTACAAATTACACATATCAGACATGTAAGAGTCATTACTGTGGACATTACCCACAGGAGAAAATGCGGTTAAAGTGTCTTGCCCAAGGACACAACGGCCTGACGCAGTGGCGGCCGAGGCGGGATTCGAACTGGAGTTCACCAACGCCCCTTGATCTTATGACCAACGCTCTAACCACTGCTAACCACTGCGCCAAAACCGCCCCATGTTCCCACATTACTCCTATTATTTTCACTATTCGGATAAAATTAAAAAAACTAATATAAAAAAACAATTTGGTTTCTTGCTTTCAACTATTTTCCAAGCAAAGTAAGTGCACGTTTTTATCATGTGTAACATTACTGTTTAAACGGCGGATAAAGCAGCTTCATCATGGCAACTTGACAACAGCTAAGCTAGGCTACTACTTACAGCATCCAGGTGACTTTTCAGAGTTGTTGTGCCACCGTGGTAGGCCAGTTTCTTATCGCATATTTGGCACATATTCTTCTTACCGTCGTCCAATTTAAAATGGTCCCACACAGCTGAAGTCTTCGGCATTTTTTGGGAGAAACGAGGTGAAGCGAGGTGAAGCGTGCCGTTTGCGTTCGTGACTGAGTGAACGCGATGTCAGGAGCACAGGCTGAGATTGTATATATTTACGCATTTTAAAAGTGCAATTCAAAAGTATAAATATATATAGTATAAGAATATACTAATAGCATACATTTAGAATTATTTTTATTTTTTTTGAAGAAAAAAAAAAAAGAAAAAAAAAATATCCGAATAATGAAATTGAAACCCGAATAGTTGGCCAACGAACGAATATTCGAATAGTCGAATATTCGAGTACAGCCCTACTTGAAGTAGAAACAACTTGTATATCAGTTGTAATGCTATAAATCATGAAACACTGAAAATACATATTGACTGTTAACATTGATGGCAATAGGATGAGTTTTGTGTCAGAAATAACAAACATCAGGCAATACTTTAGTATTTTACAGTTTATGGCTATTTTAGAAATTCCGGTAATGAATTGGATGATTGTTTAAAGAAGCCATGGCTGAGACAGGATGAGACCTACCTTGCAGGTTGTAGTAGTTGGGGTTCTGGGTCATGCGGCGGTAGAGGAACGTCCAGGTCAGGTAGTCCACGGCGTCCTGCTTGTTCTCCACAGTCTTGGTGACGATCTCAGCATTGAAGTGGTCATGGAGGCAGTGGTCCAAGTGAGACTCCACCGGCAGCGGCTCGTACAGGAACTTCTTGAAGAAGTCCTGTCAAGAAAGGCAAAGGAAGCGGTTAGGTTCCTGCTGTCCAAGTCATTGCTTTAGAAACAGAACAGAAGCATCTCTACCTTCTTGGAGCCCTGACACATGATCACACAGCGGCCCTCATCATCCAGCATCGGTCTGTTGGCCTTGCCCACCATCTGGAGGACGTCATAGATGGGATAGTCCACATATCTGAGAGAAACAGGAGGAGGAGGTCACCAACACAGTTCATACTACTCACAGTACACTAATTCACAACAGCATTAACTAGTTGGAGCCTTACGCGTGGATTTTGCCGTTGTAGTACTGGGTGTCCATGACGATGACGAGGTGTGCGGAGATGTTGATGCCCCAGCAGAGGGAACGAGAGGACACCACCACCTGAACAGCGCCTGTAGAAAAGAGGAGGAACCAAAATGATCAAACATGGTTACTTATTCCTAAACCTGAATAGACAGAGCAGTAAATGCAGAGCAGGAGCGAGACATACCGGAGTTAAAGAGCTGCTCCACTATCCTGCGCTCGGTGGCAGACAGGCCCTCGTGCAGGTAGCCCACGCCGTTGGCAAGGGTCTCTTTCAGAGTAGCGTCGTTTATCTTTGCCAAGAACGGAGCGAGGTCTTTCTCGGTGCAATGCAGGAACCTACAGAGAGACAACACGTTTATCATTGGTGTAACAGCAGCATCAGCCCCATCAGGCAGGATTTCATTGTTGTGACTGACCTCTGAGGAACCACGTCCGCGGCGCAGAAGGTGAGGATGTCGATGGCTGTGAGGCGAGTCTGTCTGCGGGACGGGACGAACACCACGGCCGGTTTGGAGGGGGAGTGCTTCATGATGGCGTGGTACACCGGCTTAGCCATGGACAGCAGGCGAGTCTGAGTGTGACTCACGTTGAAGCCCTGAACGACATTAGAAACGTTAACAGCAAATCACGAGCTTTGATGAACTGAAATTCAAGCACTTTTTAAAGCACTTTCGGTTGCATTAGTTAGGAGTATATCGTTATTTATGGTGCACACGGTACACTGATAACTTCACTTCTTCATCACAATAAAACAGACTATGAACCATGCTGAACAACCTAAATGTTGTTTGTTGAGAGCATTATACAGAACGGTGACATAATAAAAAGGAAAAACACAACAAGATGTCCTCTGTTGGTACCAAATCTAAGTCTTTTCAAATCTTGACAAACATTTTTTTTTAAAATACAAATGTTTTCAAGGATCGGAAATCAAGAAGCAAACAGAATTTCATGTGTCTGAGTTCTATCCCTAGTTGTGTGGCCTGGCTCAGGGTTACACACCTGGATGTGCAGCTCCAGAGGAACCGGTCTGACGTTGGGGTGGAAGTTGAAGGTTGCCGTGGTATTGCAGCCCAGCCAGTGAGCCACGTCTTTGGCGTTGGACAACGACGAGCTGAGGGCCACGATTCTGATTGGCCGCTCAATCTGAGAGGAGATGTACCTCATCCTGGAGCAGATGACCTCCAACACAGGCTAATGAGAAGAAACAAAGGGTGTTAACGTGCTGCAGGCGACAAATGACTTTAACACTGCACACTAAGGTGTATGACAGGAAATAACTGACACTCAGAACAACAAAGGAAGCATTGTTTTCTTACCCCATTTTCTCCTCCAATGAGGTGAGTCTCATCCACGATGAAGAGGCTGACGTTCTGGACGTTCTTCCTCTGCTTCCAGCGACGAGACAGGATGTCCCATTTGTCGGGGGTGCTGACAATAATGTCCCCCTTTCCCAAGAGCTTCAGATCTGTGCTGGTTTCTCCCGTCAGCAGCACCACCTTTTTGTTCAGGATGTCCTGGAACTTCTGGTGCCAGTCGATAAACACCTGAGTGACAAAGGATTGAAGGAAAGAAATGTTTTGTTTGATGGAAACTAGATTTACAGCTTGGTGGTTTTATGCCTCTGCCAATCAGCCAGGTTGCAGTTTATATCCATGTTTGTCCAAAAGGTCATAACTTCATTGTTTTATCCTATTGGACATTTGTTTGAAATTGCCACGATTAGAATAACAATTCTTGTTTTGAGAGGAGTGACCGTGTCCTTTAACCCCTTTTATCTTTATGATTTCATTCTCAACTCAAAAGGACATTTGTGCCAAATTTGAAAGAATTCCCTCAAGTGTTAACCCTTAAAAATAAATCAAGTTCACAAGACCAGGACAACTCTAAAACATAATGCCCTCTGATCTGAGTTACATTATAGTAATGTTAGTTTTGATATAAGCACACTTCCAACTTCTAAATAACTTCGTACCTGTTCGGCCAGCGCTTCCATCGGTGTGATGTAGACACAGCGACCTTCAGCGTTGTGCAGCAGCATCCTCAGAATAGCAAACTCAGCACAGATTGTCTTCCCGCTGCCCGTAGGAGCTCCCACAAACACGTTATCGTCACTGTTGTAGACAGCGTTGAACACTGGAGGGACGGAAACAACACAACTTAGACAAGAACATAATGGAAACACAGAAAGCCATCGTTTGATAACATGATGATGGAAAATGTGGCTATCTGTTGTTCTTGTTCTGTACCTTGTGTCTGGATGGGGTTGAAGAAGGGGAACTTGTTCTGGTAGAGCGCCTCGAAGGCGGAGTTCCTGAGAGCCGTGACGGGCAGCGGCTGCAGGTCCAGCAGCTCAGTGGGTGGGGGGTACTTCTCAGGGAGGATCAGGTGACGGAACGACACTGGGAGCTGAGTCTCGCAAGCTGAATGGAAACAGAAAAGAAATGAGGCGCTTGTTTGAGATGCGTTTTCTAAATGTGTGAATGTTGTGACAAATGTTTCAAGGAGTTCCTTACAGAGCCATCGGTCTGAGACCACGCGGATGAAGTACTGCGGTGGCAGAGGCTCGAACACCGGGACAAAGAAAGTCACGAGGTGTTCGTCTTGGGCGTACTTGGCTTTGAGCAGGAAGTACTCGTGGTGGAGGATGACCTCACTGTCCACATCCTCCACCAGGATCCAGAAAGCCTCAGAGGTCGCATGAATCTACGAGCAACAACAGTTTCAATACAGATATTACCAGATACAAGCCATGGACTATCAAGTGTTTACTAAGGATCACGCCGTTGTGTCCGTAGGATACAAGGTTAGCTGTTGACAGATACAAAACAATAACTTTTTGTTGTGTGTAATAGTTGGCTACATTAACCTGGTGGGTAGTACTAAGTTAGCAGACCCCTGTCTCCCTTACCCAGCCCACTGTCTTCAGGATTTGTCTTAACATTTTTAACAAAGTACAATACATTTACATTTACCCTTTGCATAGTTAGGATTAGTAACAAGCTCATCAAGTCAAGGAAGGAAAGAAAAAGTAAGAGCATGCAGCTAAGTGCTGACAGTAATGCCCCAGAATTCAAATCAACCAAAGGAAGCAGTCATTTCAAATTCTGAGCAATTCAATCACTTCATGCCCTGTGAACGTGTGGCAGGATGCTAAAAACTGAGGGTTCAGCACATTATGGCTATATTTACCTTATCATCCCACTGGAAGTCGGGCGTGATGGTGAGCTCCACCTTCAGCGTGGAGCGGGTGATGGGCTGCAGGTGGACAGCCAGATCCAGTTTGGGGAACTGGTGGACGTACTTGTGGATGGTCTTCCCCATTTTGGGCATTCGGATCAGCTCCCCTGAAACATGAAACGAATGGTTCTAATGACTCTCCGGGCTGAGGAGGACGGTCAGGGCCCATGTGGTGAGAGGGAAGACAACTCACCAATCTCATTGTGGTTGAGGTCATAGAGACGCTCAAAGGGGAAGTTCTTCTTCTCGATCTTCTTGATCACTTCCTCTGGCAGCTTCTTGAACTGTCGCAGCGGGGACATGGACTGCCACCTGTGGAGAGCAGGGACACAGAATCTCAGCGACCCGCCTGTGCAGACTAAACACAGCTAGAGCTATTGTGGAAGACTTACATTCTCTTGTCGATCATCTTGCAGAGATTCATGGTCTTGTCGGTCAGTTGAGCCCAGCCCCTGTTGAGAACGATCTCAAAAATGGCGCGCATCAACCTTCCAGCACTCTGGGAGACAGACGTACAGAAAATAGAAATTCATCTCACAACTTCAGTTTTTAGAAACAAGAAACAATAACTTTCCATTTTATCAGGGGAAATATACATTGTTGACAGACCCGACATGTATGTGTACAACCGAAGAAAACATTGTGTAAAAACTGCATTTTTGAGAGGAATATAAAACTAAAGTTGAACAAAAACACAAGGTTCATTCGTACCTGTGTAACATACACCATGTCGGCCATGAGAGCAAAGCCTTCCAGTTTGAGCTGAGAGATGTACGCCTGGAGCAGCACGTTGATCTGAGAGGATCAGAAACAAGAGGAACTTTTTATTGGAATTCAATAACTTCTGCTTATATTGGACAGAAAAGAAAATCAAGTGACATTTAGTTTGTACACCATAAAAGCATTTTACTACTCTAATTGATGGTAATTCAGTGACATTCTTATGAACTGATCACAGGTTATGGAAGCTACCTTAGCACTGGGCTCCTCGATGCTCTCCTTCACAGGAATGGGAACTCTTTCCAGCAGCTTCTGAAGTTCCAACTTCTCCTCCTAAAAGACACAGCAACACGTGAGTCAAATCTAAATAAATTCAGCCTGTTAAACGATCAAAGTGATGTTGGGAGTTTAGTAGGGCTGCTCGATTATGGCAAAAATCATAATCTCGATTATTTGGGTCAATAATTGATATCACGATTATTAAAAACGATTATCCATTTACTTTGAAAACATCAATTTATTGGAGAAAAAAATGTGAACAGTAGGTTTTTAACAGTTGATTACCCTGAACTTTAAGTATAATTCAACTGAAAAACCAAAAAAAAAAAAAAATGTAATTACATTTTTTTTTAACTAATAATCGTTTTATTTCGTTTTATTTCGATTACATTGTTTTCGTAATCGTTGCCAGCCATAATCGTAATTGCGATTAAAATACGATTAATTGAGCAGCCCTAGAGTTGAGCTGAACCACCATACCTCTCTGACGTTGATGTTCCTGAACTCTGAGGACAGTGAGAAGACTCTGAACAGCTCAATCTCACTGAGGGTCGGCTTCAGCAGCTGGTTGTAGGTTTGAATGGAGTCATGAGTGATGTAGAAGTGACTGGCAATGCGTCCCAGGTCTGTAACCTTCAGGAAAAGAGGCAGAAAGCTCAACCGTTAAAATCATGAAGTCAAACTATTTAGTAACTTAAGAGCAATCATAAACAAATATATAAAAGAGTATCACTGATGGAGGAGCATACCTGGAAGCTTCCTGTCCTCTTATCATATTTCACAAGGTTGTTCTTGTCCAGGACATTGGCTGCTGTGTGCACCAGGTCAATCCTGCGCCTCTCCAGCAGGGGGTCTGCACTCCGGTCATCGTGGGACACACCGTACAGGGTGGGGTTGCGGAGCATACGCACATACAGGTAGGTGTAGCCCAGCCAGTTCACAGCATCCTGATAGAACAAACACATGAGAAATGACAGCAATTGTAAAAGAAATGGAATATTTTGATTAGCATCTGGTTACGCGTCTGTGCATGCTACTGACCTTCACAGTCTGCACGTTGCCCAGCACTATCTCAGCATTGAGCATGTCAGGCAGCTTGCAAACCATCTGGCTCTCTATGGGCAGCTGCTGGTTGAGCAGCGACAGGTAGTACTGCAGCTCTCCGTGGGATGTGATCAGGATTCCCTCTCCCTTTGTGTCGTACTGAGGACGTCCAGCTCGACCAAGCATCTGAATAAGACCGAACAAACCAGGTTATTTCCATTAGTGAGACGTCCGAAGCACTCTTTCCTGCACTTGAGCATCCAGCCAGCACAGACTTACCTGCAAAATGTCCAGGGCTCCGAGCTCAGTCCACCTTCCTTTCTCCGGGCTGTACGCCTGAGTCCCTTTGATGATGACGGTGTGAGCCGGCAGGTTGACACCCCAAGCCAGAGTAGCCGTGGACACCAGAACCTGGATGTGTCTGTCAGCAAACAAATCCTCCACCAGCGTACGGTCCACTCGGGACATACCAGCGTGATGGATGGCGAAGCCGTAAGGCAGCAAATCCTTCAGTTCCAGGTTCTGGAGGAGGAAGTTCAGGTATAAGTCTAACAGGGTAATCACAAAGTATTAGAGTCACTTTGAATGTGCCTATCCATTGTACTTTGCATTCCTACCTTGCACTGCTCAGCTTCTGTTCTCAACACTTCAGTCGAGGCCGAACCCTCTCTGAGGAAAAGGCCCAGCGTGTCCTTCTCCAAACACATGTCTCTGATGGCCCTCGCAGTCTTTCCTGTCTCCTTCCGGGAGTGGACAAATACCAGCACCTGGTGGAGACAACAGAATGTCAAAGTCTCTCAAATCTGGTAACACTTTGTTGATCAGTGCTTGTTGAACCAGTATTGTAGGGCAACTGCATGCATGTATGCATATATATATATGCATATATATATATGTAAATAATATATACCAGCTGCTAAATCCTTAGAACTGTTACAAGGTGTGTATTTTGTAAATTGTGTAACTTGCTGCTGTTAAATACCGACCACCTATGTGCAATATGTGCTAGATGTGCAATATATATCGATGCCGTTAATAACTGGCTGCTAAATCCTAAGAACTGTTACAGGATGTGTATTTTTTTTAATTATGTAACTTTTTATTTTGTATTATATTTTTTTGTATTATATCATAACTTAGTACTTTTTTTTTTTTTTAAATGCGTGTCACATATTTAACATATGTAACATTAAGCTGTCTGTGGCTCTTTTTCCTGCTGTAACTACGTGGGACTAATAAAGGTATCATGATTCTGATGGAGTCAGTCATTTTTACTTGTGTTTTTTAAAGTCGTAGAACTCACCTGGTTCTTTCCAGCATGCTCCATTATCTTTTCATAGACGATCTCATTCATGATCTGGAAACGCTTGATGGCCTTTTTCTCTGTGATGCCGACATAAGTCTGCTCCAGGGGAACAGGGCGGAAACTACACAGGAAAAGAATGTGGTTATCAGAGATGAGTATTCAACAAGTGCAAACGAGAAGAAAAACCAGATGTAGTCGTTAGGAATATGGGAGTTTCCCCATCTTGTAACGCCACCCAATTAATGTTCAGCTTCCACGATTATTAAGATGCTAACTTGTTTACAGCACATAAACACATTTTCACCAAACACCATTTTGATGGGAATGCATGTTCAACTCTCAACAGATACAAGGAGGAGGCAAGATGGCTCACACCTTCCATCTTCACTATCAAACACATAGTTGTATCCTGATCGGGCAAGCGGGTTGTTAGTTTTACTTGTCCAAAGACACGTTTTGTTTAGCCTGGATGACGTGACCATTTTTTGACAGTCTGAATAGCATACCTGTTATCAAAGTAGAAGAGTCCCTTGGCAGGATCGACCCGCAGGCAGGTAGCCACATCCTCGTAGTTGGGCAGTGTGGCGCTGAGGCCGAGCAGACGCACATCCTCCTGGGTCAGCTCCACGTTTCGGATGGTCCTTGCCACCAGAGCTTCCAACACGGGTCCGCGGTCATCGTGCAGAAGGTGGATTTCATCCTGCACATGAGAATGTAAAGTTAAATCATCTGCACACACAATTAATATGCACTAAACTAGTTTTTTTTAATACGACAGAACCTTTTATCGAGACATTCACAGCACTTACAATGATGATGAGCCGCACTAGCTGGGTGTAGGTACGCTCTCCGCCTTTACGGGTGATGATGTCCCATTTCTCAGGGGTGCAGACGATGATTTGAGTGGCGTTGATCTCCTCTTTACAGAGCTGGTGGTCCCCCGTCAGCTCGGAGACTGTGATGCCGTATGATGCCAAGCGCTGTGTAAAGAGGGAAAGTGAGTAAAACACCAAAACAGCACAGTGACTGAAAGGACTTGATTTCAAGTATATAAATCTCTTGGGGACAGAGGCGGGGCTCACCTTGCTGAAACTTCCCACCATCTCCTGTACCAGAGAGCGCATGGGGGCAATGTAGATGATTTTGAAGTCGTCCACATTGATGGTTCCATCCAGGTTTATGTGCTTTCCAATTTCTCTCAGCATTGCCATCAGAGCAACATTGGTCTTACCAGCTCCCTGTGTGCACAAAAAATACTAATTATAGGAGGAGTCTTACCTGTGGACAAATCATCACAATGCTTTTGGCTTCAACTAAGTTTTCTTACCGTAGGTGCACACACGAGCAGATTCTCATCTGTCTCCAAGGCGGTCTTGTACAGTTTGCTCTGGATACGGTTCAGGGTTTTAAAACCTTCAAATCCAGCCTGTGCATACTTGGGCAACTTCTCAATGGGAACCAGCACCTGATGACACAATAACATGCAGAATGAAAGTCATGAACACATCTAAACACCGCTTATTGTCACGTGGCAATGACACGTTTTCCACCATGACTCAATTAACTAACAAACCTCATCGTCAGCGAAGGGCTTGGGTTTGAGGGCGGGCACGTGAACCTCTTCATAACCTTTGCGCTGTTTGCGGAACGAGCCGTCTGGCAGCTGGCAGCGCTTGTTGGCCATGAAGTGGCTGCCCTGTGTGAAGGCCAGGTCTTCAAGGTCCAGCAACTGTCGAGAAGCCACCGACTGTAGGACGAAAAGAAAAAGGTCATCTTGAGTGTATTCTGACCCCTTGCAGCTTTCCTGATGCCATAATACTATCCCAATGCTGTAGTCGTGGGTTAGCATTATGTTAAAAGATCATATGTAGCTTGCATCATATGCAGTTGAAAGTATTTACCTCTCCGTGGTCAATGTCCATCGCTTCCATGTCATCAACACGAGACTTCCTCAACCGCTCCCTGCGAGATCGCTCCTCCTAAGAACACAAAATCCATGAATAAAAGATATAATCGACCAAACTAAAAAGATACTCTCATACCATTTTCTTGCGAACTTTAAAGAGCAACAGCTCTTACCCGGATAATATCTTCCTTCTCCGTCTCTTGCAGCTGGTAAAGAATCTTTGACAGTTCCAGATCAGACTCCATCTTCCCAGTGATCCTCTCCTTCTCTGCCTCACTCTGAGCGCTTGCCAGCATGGTACAATACTGAACTGTGTGTCAGAAGGGAAATAGTTATTCAAAAAAAGTTTTTATGGAAAAGATCCTAAAGCATGAAACTACATCATTTACACCCCTGACTTACTCATGCGTCGATGCTGGCGGAGGATTTTGATGAAATCGAATGTGTTGAAACCCAGCAGCAACACCAGCTGGTTCTCACATTCTCTGTCATCGCTGGCAGTCTGGAATACAGAGACACAATGGGTGAGCTAGTCTGTAAAGTATATACATGTGTATATGCTAAATAGAAACAGACATTAGAAAACATTTCAAACATACCTTCAGGATTTCTAAGACTTCATCAGCTTTCTTTTGAGATACGATGGCGTCGTCATAGAAGCGACTGAGCTGACGCTGGAGCCAGAAGGCATCGATGTCTCGAGGGTGCAGATCTTTCTTCTTCACGGTCATCACATCGCCCGTGGCCCCCAGCTAAATAAAGAGTAGTTCATTAATTATCTTTGTACTGTGAAGGTCCAAAACAGTGCATGACATTAAGGATTTTGCTTTATCTTAGATGGCCCTTTGATTGCCCTGAAAAATGCGCGCGGACGAAATGACGCACGAAGGGTTTGGGGGGCCTCCCCCTAGAACGTTTAGATTTTTGCAGGTCTTCTTAGATGCTGTCTGGTGCATTCTCTAGACTGAATTATAAGATGAACCACCACAATATTATATTGTACAATTTCAATTTTATTCTTCATTTCACTTGTTTGTTTGTTCTTGTTTGTGTTTGCTCGCTTGCGTGCCCTGCATAGCTATAAGAAATACTTCAGTTGTTGGTCAAGACACTTTCCATCTGATGAAGGCAAATGCCTTCATCAGATGGAAAAAAGTAGAAAACATTACATTCAGTTGGAACTGCCAAAACAATCATTATTTACACTATTATGGCCCCTGTTAGACATGTTTGTAATGTTATCTACTGTAAGTTGGTCAAACGAATGCCTCCTCATCCGGAAGCTGACCGAGCAGACCCGAGCAGCAGTCGAGAGGAGCCGAGCGCATCCACGAAGCACACAAGATGGCGACGTCAGAGTTCCCGTTAGCCGGCAAATCTAAATCTCTTCTGTCAAAATGTCCGGTCAAAATAATTTCCCTTTAGCGCAATACCGCTTCAGTTGGAAAATAAACTAAAATTAGATTCCTCAGACATGTTTAGCTTTGCGCCACTTATGTGACAGACAAGAAGAGTATGTGACAGACAAGAANTCTGAGTCACCGGCGGAGCAATGTTCAACTTTGAAGCCTCTGAGCTTTCGGTGGAGCGTCAGCACAATCAAATCATATGCCTGTGTTCAAGTCTAGCCAATACAAATACCGCCTGCTTGTGTGTTCAGCGGCGCGGGAGTTCATTGTGATGGTTGTTGTCTCGAGCCTTCAGACCGCCCGCGCAGCAAGCTCCCGTTTTTTTAAGCGCTGTACTTTCTTACAGAGCCCCTCCTCCAACACACAAGAACGCACACATGACCAATGAGGGCAGGAGATAAGTTTGTGCACAGATGGAAGGCTGACAGGCAGGTAGGCCATCCAGTTATTTTAGCCGGTCCGGCTCAGATTATTGGTCGTGCTTTTTACAGCGCTACGGCTTCCAGAGATTAATTTGTTTATGTATTTATTGTCAAAGCATTTAATATATTCATTGCTATCGGGATGTTAAGAGCATTCCATGGAATATAACAAAGTGTTTTCTGAAATAAATTACATACCCCATTGAATTATGACTGAAGATTGTCAGCTGTCTTCCTCTCCCGTGTTGTTCCTCGATACGTAAAGGCTGCAGCACCGTTGACAACTTCTCTCTACATATCAAACATACCGGTAAACCAGCATCGTTTGCTGTGAAAGCATATAACTCTGTCCACGCAGAATTAAATCCTGTGTTCCTCCGGTACTTTTCTTTGATTTATCCATAGTTCGCTCATCGAGCCGGGGGTCAGGTTATTCACCCGCAGGAAAAGGCGCTCGCGCGGGACAGTAGCAGGATGTGACGTATATTTTAGTTGACCTAATTAAAACCGTTTTGTTTTTTATTTATGTGTCACAGTATCACCTCAAAATACAAGATACGAAACATTTTCAACCATGCAACAAAATATAAATAGTCCTACAAATACTTTTATTTTATTTCCTTCTTATTTTTGTCTAAGCTCAAGGGAGCCAGAGCAGAGGGCTTAAAGGGCCGCATGCGGGTCGAGGGCCGCGGGTTGCCGACCCCTGGTTTAGATGATGTTATGCGATGTGTTTGCTCAAAATAAAATAACAAACTTTTACACATGCAACAAAGAAAAGAGGCCTTTACAATATTCAAAACAAAGAGGCAAAACTCAAATAAAATAACAAACAACTTAGGTATTCTTTCTTTCTTGATAAGGCTTATATAACTTCATAATTAAAGGGTAAGTTAAAAACTGTTCCTCAACGGCGTCTTTCTAGCAGGTTGCCCGTCACTGTCACTTTAGCGCAGGCCCCTTGTGAGTTGTAGTCTTTTAGTGTGTTGACAATCAATCACAATTAGGTGGCCTTTCTTATAAAAAACAAAATACTGGCTCTAACAAGGTTAGTGCGCATCACTTATATGGTACAGTCCAACCTGTTTCTGGATCTGCTTCCCCTGCTGACATTGATCAGAATCAGAAACGGGTTTATTACCAGCTAGGTTGACACGTACGAGGAATTTGACTTGGTGTTTTGGTGCATACGTAAAAGTAAAACTAAAATTAAAAACACCGATAGAAAACTATTTTAAGAAAACTATAATAACATTACAAACATATAGTAAAATATAGCAGTATTTACATTGAAATGGAATTGGATCAAGTGGTATCTGACAATTTATTTATTTTTGTTTTAACTTATTTATTATTCAGCCAGTTGAGGTGTAATGGGATCACTAGTAGTGTCATTTCAACATACTTAAAACAAAAATGTTACCAATTGAAAATCATGTGATGACATTTCCAGGCAATTAAAAATCCTTAATTTGGCTTAATAACAGCTGTTTATTATGTGATACTTATATGAAGGCATTTATCCTCCACTCTCTCTCTGTTTTTCAGATGAATGTGGAATAGTGGCGCAGATATCTCAGCCTCTGGCAGACAGCGACATCTCGGCCTATTACATCAGCACCTTCAGCTTCGACCACGCTCTGGTGAGTCCAGCATCTCACCGTCACCAGATAGGCCGCTGTCAAAATCACGCCACATTTTTGCGATTACTCTTAGCTCAGATATTTAAAGATTTCAGGTTTGGTCTTTCTTCTGTAATGTGGGAGACTAAGAATGATGAGATACACAAATATGTGCTCCTGTAAGCATTCCTGTGAAGTTAAATAATGAGCGAGCCAGGTGATTCCAGATCAGCTTCAGGGTGTTTCTGATACAAGCTGGTTTATACATTTGAGAATAAAGGTATATGGCTTCATACGTTCATCAAATGGAACAATTTATTTAGCTAGTATATGATTATTAAAATCCTGTGATCCATATTATCAATTTGATCAATGGCAATCGACCAATCACTGTTCACATTTACAAACGCTAAGATCATTCAAGAAAAAAAAGAATCCTTGAAATGTAGTGTCAAAAGTAAATGTGTAAACACTCTGAAAATGTATTTACAAGTAATTGTTACCTTTTCTAACTTAACTTGTCACATGATAGACATTTATTTTTATTTTTAGACTGTAATTAAGGTTTCTTCAATTAAATGTTTTCTTGGTTGTTAGCATGTATTAGGTTGTTAAGAACTTTTAACGCACAACTATTTTAAATATTGTTTTCAGCCTAAACCAGTACTACTTTTGTGTTAGTAAATTTACAAATGTTCCACATATACGACAGACATCAACTTCATCTCTAACTCCGACTACCTGTTATCATAACAATTTACAGATGGCCCTGAGCCCAATAGAGATTGCCCTGAAAAATGCGCGCGGACGAAATGACGCACGAAGGGTTTGGGGGGCCTCCCCTAGAACATTTCGATTTTTGCAGGTCTTAGATGCTGTCTGGTGCATTCTCTAGACTGAATTATAAGATGAACCACCACAATATTACAATTTCAATTGTGTTCTTCATTTCACTTGTTTGTGTTTGCTCGCTTGCATGCCCTGCATAGCTATAATAAATACTTAAGTTGTTTGTCAAGACACTTTCCATCTGATGAAGGCAAATGCCTTCCCAGATGTAAAAAAGTAGAAAACATAACATGCAGCTATAACTGCCAAAACAAACATTATTTACGCTATTATGGCCCCTGTTAAAAATGTTTGTAATGTTATCTACTGTAAATTGGTCGAAGGAATGCCTCCTCATCCAGAAGCTGACCGAGCAGACCCGAGCAGCCGATTACATCCGCGAAGCACACACAATGGCGACGTCAGAGTTCCCGTTAGCAAGCAAATCTAAATCTCTTCGGTCAAAATGTCCGGTCAAAATAATTTCCCTTTAGCGCAATACCGCTTCAGTTGCGCCACTTATGTGACAGACAAGAAGAGTATGTGACAGACAAGAGTAGTCCATTCTAATGTGAAACACTTAATGTGGAGAAAGAGATGTGCTGTGTGGGTTGATTGATTGTGCGTTGATCTGTTGGTAATGCCTCGGGGTTCCGGTAGGCATGTAAACAAATGCATAATGCTGCGCTATACTTTGTGGCCTCACCCGGTTGCATAGCGACACTTATTGTTTAGGTGTCTTTTAATAAGCAGGTAGTCATATCATTAGCTAGAACTAGCTGGATCTGATCGATATGGACATAAACGCGAGTGAAGTCTAATCTGACGGGAGAGAGAGATCAGCTGCTGCTGACGAGTCGACACGCAGCTCTGCATGATCACATGCAGCGGTGAGCGGAAAAAACACACACTTCAGGTTAGAATATCACACGTAGCTATTTTAATTACCTCTCAAACTACCTAAACTAGTTATAGATATGTTTAGTTTTACTGTCGGGTCACTCATTACTGGATCCGCGAGCTGCATGACACTGGCATAATAGATTGCCCGATCGGGCAACCAGCAGTTGAGGCTTCATTGCCCGAGCTAAATACTAGATGGCCCCGGGCCATCGGGCAGTCCTTAATGTCAAGCCCTGCAAAATGTTGCTAAAAATGCCGGTTTAATTCAGTAAAAATACGTTTCACTTACATTTGCTGAAAGAGCGCTGCCCACTCCTGCCTCCTCTCCTTCGCTGTCTTCATCCGAGTGCTCGTCTCGTACCTCTCCAAACGGATCTTCATCCCCTTCCTGAATAAAAAAAGAATTAAAAGAACATCTATGAAACAATCAACTTTAATATCGTAACTTTTATCCTTAAATGAGAGATAACTTCAGTTATTTTAAAGTATACGTAAAAAGCCAGTACCTCCTCATCAGATTCAAACTGGACATTCACGCCGTATGTTTCGTCAATGTTGTCATCTGAAAAGGAAAGATACAATCACAAGACTATTTCCATGAAATCTGACATAACCTAGTGACAACATCGCTAAGTCTTTTAAAATACATTTTACAGTTATTTCCAGTGCATTACATGCATACCCATGTTCTGTAAGTCTTTGTCCCCTCCGTAGTCAGAGATCTTCTTGCCCAGATTAACCAGCACGTGGTAGCGAGTGTCATCAGCAGGCCCAAGAAGCTGCTCTACTTCACGTCGCCTTTCCTTATCCCTCATTTTATCATTCTTCAACACGGCTAATACTTCATCAGCTGCTCCACACAGAATATCACGTGGCTGCAACAAGATATAACAACCAGGTCAAAAAAGGTTTCAGGCACTGATCAAAAACACAAGCTGACATTTGAACAAAAACAGGCGATTTATTGTTTTCTGACCTGATCTCCCAAAGCAGCATGGATGAAGCTCAGCAACACTTCATAGGTCTCTCTGGTTTCTTTGGTTTTAGGCTTGTACACAATGCCCACCATTTCATCAATCCCTTCAGACAGAAGGGTGAAGCCCTTCATTTTGTTGATGTCGTGTCTGTCCTCATCTCTTTTTCGCCTCCTGTAAAGGCAGAAAACAATTCAATCAATTCATTTCTGTACAAAATTAGAAACCCCTTGCAGAGCCTTTAAAACAGGACATGTACATATTTTTCAAACTTTCTTTTCAAAAGTTCGCAGTTCAACAAGTTAAAAATGAAACTGCATAGTGTTCCCTGGGTCTCATGTATAGAACAATAATGTATATTCCATGTTTATCATCTAAATGTACTAATAGTAGTAATAATACAAATAGGATGTTTTTATTTTCATACCAACCAAGAACCATGGGAATGAGGTAAAATAAGCAATACATTTTTCAGTCAAGTAAAGTTACAAAACTCACATCCAAAACACCTTGAGCAGAGAGACTTATCATAGGGACAAGAAGTGAACCAGTGGACATGTAGAATAACCCTTGCAAGTCTACAAGCTATGTTCATGATAGGGGGAACAATTGTTGTTTACATTTTACAAAAAACAATAAAATTTGACTGACTTGTCTCGTCTCTCATCCAGTTTCTGAGGTTTGGTCCTTTGAGACTTGTCACCCATCTTGGTCCCCTCCAGTTTCCCCACAAGGGACAGCACCTCTCCGGTGGGCTCATCTCTCCGTGTGCGGTCGATCAGAGAGCGATCAGCTTGTAACACCAAGTTAGAGTTCTGACAATTCAAAACAAAGACAACGTGATCAGTCAGGACACCAGTGCACTCACTGCGGCTAAGCTAACTGCTATTTAGCATAATGGTTAGCTAAACACGGAGTAGTCTGGATTAAAAACATATGCAAGCTAGGTAGGATGTTCAGATAATAGCATATCAAATACTTTCAGAGATAAACAACTTTCTGTGTGTTTAGTTTATACTCTAGAAAAATTCATTACTTACCGCTTTGTACTCGTACTGCAAGCTACGGGCAGTAACATCCGCCATGGTGCGAATTTCTTCTTTTAGCTTTTAGCGCACTTTACTACAACTTGAACTAGACTAAACACATCCACAGAGTCGTCTCCACTCTGTCCTGTTATATAGAGGCTGAAAACATTAGTGTATGCTTCAGCTTTGTTGCATGGGATTGTTTTTAAAATGTCCAAGTTTCATACAAGTAAGTGCGTCTCTCGTACGTTACAAAGCAGCGGTGGTGCTAACACACGAGCACATAACAAGCCGCCTGTGACTTCCGGTTCCGATGTTAACGTTTTAGAACGTGTCCACAAAACAAGTAGCGCTCCCTGCAGGCTAAAATTATTTATATTTTGGCAACAATTTGTAATAATGCAAATAAATAATCCAAATCATAACCAATGAAACGATCTGTCTCTCTTTCAGAATTAAAATTATAATTGGTTTTATTAGGTTTACACATACCAGGAATTAGCTTTGATGTAAATGTTGCCTACAAAGACACAGAAATAAGAATACGTAGCGAATAATAGTACTATTTTAAAAGCTATTGTAAGACTATTGTAACAATTAAAATAAGACGATTATTTTCTCGAAACGTTATCATGTCAAAATCTGATTACGGTAAACAATAAATACTATATACTATACTCAAAGTGTAGAGCTGTGCATAATTTAAAAAGAGGTATTGTGGAGCAGAAATGTGCAACATGTTGTGCAGGATAATATGATTTATTTTGCTATTAAGAAATTAGCTAGAACATTTCATACTCTCGTCGACATCTTCCCAAGTAAATTCCCAATACTGTGTTTATCGTCTATTAATCCTGACATTATTTCTTTATCATACTTGTTGAAGTTGTTTTTATGTCTAACAGTTTCCTTTTTAAAGCCAGTAAAATGCAGTAGGATGCTTGCCTATTTTATGGTAAGTTTGGCTTGAATCCTATTCTCAGACAGGTAAATAACATCTCTTCCCCTGTGCACCTGCTGCTGTGTTTTTCCATACTTTCAGTTGTTCTTTTATTGCCTATAACATAATAGACTGTTTACATAATACATTATCAACATAGGCTACTGTTTAAGAACGAGAACAACTCAAATTATTGCTTTCAATAAAACTGTTATACAAATAAATAATCAACATTGAACGTCACTAATAGATTGTTCTTAAAACGTTCTTAACATGTATAAATGTATACATATACGTTTTTTATTATTTATGTATTTATTATATTTGTAAAAAATGCTACCTAAGATGCTCATTCAATGTGGCTGCTCCAAAAGTAAAGGAGACGATGAAGTGTTTTTTCATTTTAAATATGCTGCACTCACAGCATTCACACCCAGATGGCAGCAAAGAGATCGATTTGCCATATGTGTTTTGCTTGAAGATAAATTGACTTGTGAACCGGAAGAATGATCAGCTAGTGATCAAACCCTGTCATTAAGGGACAACCCATCACAATACAATACAATTAAATACATTACAAAGGGGCTTTATTGGCATGAGCGCATCATTTACATTTACACATAGCATTGCCAAAGCATTAAACCTTCTAAGCTACACTCACCTCCCTATATATCAATGCTTTCTCCTTTGTCTTTGAATGTTCATTGTGGCATGGATGGTGAATGGTTTAAGAAATATACGTGCAAATATTTAGATAGAAAAATCAAACTTTATTCGTCCAAAATGTGGTTGTTTCCATGTGTGTAAGGTGTATGAATGTGAATAATTGTTCATTTTGGCAGAATTACTTCTCATACTGGTGAAATCATAGGTAGAGATAATATAATGTAGAAACAATACTAGGAAACAGATACAAGCACACAGTAGGCTACAGAAAGATGCAGTTAATGTGGGTGTGACCTTTTTCCTGAGAGGAGTTTAGTATTTACTCTCTGCCCTCATTTGACATCACTTCAGTCCCCTTTGCACATCTGGCAACAACATCTGTCGTTTTCGCCAATCAGGATCTCTGATGCTGTACATCTAGTGAGACGGCTTTCTAACCTCCCAACACCAGACACATAGAGAGAGAAGTTGACACGGATGAATGGGCTGCACACATCAGTGAAATCAATTACAGGTTTGTGTGAGGAATGTGTCTAACTCTTTTGCACATATAAAAAGTGTGAATGGTGAAGGGTTTTTGTAGATGTTCCAGTGTTTTGATTCTCCTCTCTTCCGTCACTGCAGTATGGGCACTCTTGTGTCCTCTGTTGTTCAAATAGTTTGTGATTAACAATTAGAACGCTTGTGTTGTTGGTGACTAATCTGGATTCAGACGGCTTAATAAAAAATATCGAGTTTTATAACAAAGGTATTTTCACCTAGTATGCTTTGTGTAAATCCTCCGTTGTAAATTGTACTTTAGATTTGAGTCAGGACAATGTGATCTCTGTAGCTTTCTGTCACAGGGACATGAGCACAACTCAGCTGTCCGAGCAGCTGTCTCTGTGACGCCATCTGTGCATACACTCAGCCCCGGAGCTCCCAACAGGAGTGAGAAAACACATTGTCTTCAAAAAGACACACACACACACACACATTATGCGAGTGCAGCATTAGCACAGCGTTAGCCTATAAAGCAAAACTGGAATGTTTTCTTCGAGGGTCCAGGGATTTTAACTTTATATGACCAAGACAAGGTTAGGACAAACATTAAAAAACACAAGGTCAGCCTATTTGAGATTTTAGACGAGCTACTGGCATGTGGCTGGTAAGCTATATCTTCTTCAAAGTTGACTCATTAACATATTGTGCTGATTCATCACTAACTTCACACTCCAACACAGCCTAAATGTATTAATTGTTTGATTGAATTAACATGTTTAGTTTGTTTAACGGATCGTCCCTTTGTCCTGCACAGAAAATGCATTATAATATCCAAAACTGTTGTTAACAAATGGGTAAAATAGCCAAACACACTCCACCCAAAGTCCCCGAACATTGAGAAATAAGAAAATGGTGAGCTGTGAAAGTAAACACACAAAGAACCTTGGTAATGTCTCTCTGTACAGTTTTATTTACATGATACTATTCTGTCGTAATGCTGGATAGCAAGATTATATGTAATACATAAATATCAACACAGTTTGTTGTTTTTTCATTTTTTGTACAAATTTGCATATAACTAAGAATCAGAAAGGGAAAAACTCAAAAACGGATACATACATTTGTGTTTTAAATGAAAAACATCCTTACAGGGGGATACAAATAAAAGGTGGTGGGGGGCGGGGTTAACACAAGTCACAAACATACGTCGGGTCAATGTGTCAGGCAGCCATGAAAACACACCTTTGCACAGGAATCTGCACATGCACGCGCACAAATACACACTCACACTTTTCTACAGTGCTCTAAAGCAGACACACAGATCAATAGCTGTTAGACAGATGAGAGGTTACATCTAATCTTGGTATCTATTATTTTTCATAAATCTAGCTCTTGCATGCTCCTGTAGTTCTGTAAACATGTGCTGATAAACCGGGTAGCTCCACAGACAACAGGGTGGGGACACACACACACACACACACACACACACACACACACACACACACACACACACACACACACACACACACAGTGCTCACATAAATGTTCTGTTAGCGCATAAAAAAAAAAGAAAAATCATGGTCACATACCCTAATTCCACAAATGCACTGAATACATGCGCTAACATNTGGAAATTATTTTGACCAAAGAGATTTAGATTTGCCGGCTAAAGGGAACTCTGACGTCGCCTTTGTGTGTGCTTCGCGGATGCGCTCGGCTCCTCTCGACTGCTGCTCGGGTCTGCTCGGTCAGCTTCCGGATGAGGAAGCATTCATTCGACCAACTTACAGTACAGGGCTCGACATTAAGGACTGCCCGATGGCCCAGGGCCATCTAGTATTTAGCTCGGGCAATGAAGCCTCACCTACTGGTTGCCCGATCGGGCAATCTATTATGCCAGTATCATGCAGCTCGCGGATCCAGTAATGAGTNGATAAATGCATGAGTCACTCTTCATCTGCGTAAGTGTTCAAGACATATTTGGGATCACTCAACTTAGGGTTTCATATATTTTATTAGCGGAGAGACAATTATTTGTTATATTAGCTTTTTTTTTCTCTCAATTGTCTCTCCGCTAATAAAATATATGAAACCCTAAGTTGAGTGATCCCAAATATGTCTTGAACACTTACGCAGATGAAGAGTGACTCATGCATTTATCCCATTCATTCATGCCCCTCATTATTGTTCCTCAAATTCACCAACCAAACTGACAGGAAGGGTGCCATCCTCCCCGTCAGACCACACGGCCCTGCACCAGGCGTCAGGTGGGGAACTTCTTTACACATTATGTCCATTGAAAATGTTCAGATTCAGTAAAACGTGGAGTAATTTGTTCGTCCCTGTCTAGCATGATACCTCCAGCTATAATGGAACAAAAGCCTCGTCACAATCAAACCGATTGAAGTCAACACACACACATGCTGATCAGAGGGTCACTGAGGCAGACTATCAAGATGATCCATTGTTCTGCTGGGGTTAGAGCTGATGAAAACAAATTAAATAGGGAAGACAACAAAGCTTAACACAGCAGCTGTGAGGTAGGTAAAGCCAGGAAAGACAGAGACAGGTAACAAAGCCCCTTGTGCATGGTGGGGGGTTGTATGCTCCTCCAAACGCTGACTGACTCCAGTACCAACGGAGCACAGGGCAAGAAGTTAAAAGGTTGAGGGAAATATTACTGTGGAGTCTGGACGCTTTAAAAGACCTGCTAGTGTCTGACACATGACAGGGTCTCGATAAAATGGCTGTCTACAGTTTGGCACAAAATGGCGCCTGGTTTGGGTGAGAGGAGCACAGTCTATCCTGGACAGTTAGCCTGGGCTGCTCTTAATAAGACAATACATATTCTTAAAAGAAAAAATAAAGGACTTAACAGCGGCAAAGCCACACCACAGAAAGTAGGATAAAACCAAACTAATGAATTAATCATAAAAGGAGAAAAAGTGATCATTCATGCATCTCCCTCAGACAGATTCTTCTTTTTTTTCACCAAGATTTTCTTGAGGTTGTAATTTTGTAATTAATCAAGTCCTTTCAATCTTCACTCGGCAACTCATGCCAGTGCTCATTTCACACATTCTCCAGTCTTTGTCAAAGGTGTTGTTGTCGTTGTCGCTGCTGCTGTTAAATTAGTTAAATCTATATTCTCTGGATCTTGTCGGCCACCACCACGGGGTTCTCTTTACGGATCTTGGCAGCGGCCTCGGCCTTGTAATCATAGGGGCAGTTGTGCTTGTCGGAGTACCGGTGGATGCCACAGAACAGGTTTCCACAGCGACAGTCGAACCCTGGAAGCACAAAGGTCAGGGGTCAAAGCTAGAACAGGGGACGTGGATAACTGAACTAGAGTAGTACGAGAAAACCCTTTTTCTTTTCCATCTTTAAGTGGAACAATTATCACAAGCTGATTCACTGAGCGGCTGCATGCCATGTACTTCTCTTCTCACCTGTAAGGCCCACCCTTTTGCGGCACAAGAAGCACCTATTCTTCTTGGGTTTAGGGGTGTCCCCCTTGCCTTCTTCACTGCTGGAAGAAGCTACAGGAGAAGGACTAGAAGCAGCAGGCTGGTTTACAACTACATAAAGGAAAGACAACAGGGGAAAATTAGTCATGCTCGCTTTAATTTGCCATTATCACATATCTTAAACAGCAGGAGCAGCAGATAAATTAGATGTATTCATTGCTATGCGAGACATGTAATCACACTGGCAACTAATATTGTGTGCTTTTGTCCGAACGACAGTGATGGGTGGGTTTCTTATCTCTAAATTGTCCCCTCTGGTTTTTGGCACAAAATGTTGCACTACTCTGAGAAATCTTCTGGCAGACGGCTTACAATCTGAGAATGCCCTCTGGTGTTGAGGTATTTTTAAACTGGTTTATTTTTAGGCCGCCTCTCTTTCTTGGAGGCTGTAAGTAAAACCAACAGTTGGGTTTGAGGTGTTCAGCGAAGCATAAAAAATAAACTGTGGCAACATTAAGACCTACAGTACAAGGCAATATTTGCTTTAAGAAGTCTGCATGTGAGCATTCACCTGTGTGTGTATGTTTTTGTTGCCTGTATGTCAACTGCCAGCATGTTTATTTACTACAAGTGTGTTTATGTGTGTCTTACCAGGCTCTAGGGGTTCTGGCTTATCCTCTCTCGAGATACTCATCTCTGTCATTTGTTGAGTAACAGGAAGAGATCCTTGGACAGTTCTGAAGGTTTCAATAAAAAAACAGGGATAAGCATGAGACAATTAATCAGTTAGCAGTTCTTGCATTACAATTTGCTAGCTTCATTGAACAAAAAAACACAGCAAATACTGACCTAGACATGTCTGGCGAAGACAAAGGGGAGGCATCAACCTTGGCTAGACTGGCTTCTAGTCTCTGGATGGCTGAGGCCTCTAAAGTAGGACTACCTGCCGAGCCTGGGTGAGAACAAAGCACATTCCATTAGACACAACTCAGAAGAATATAATGACATTTGAAAATAATAAAGTAGAAAATAGAAACAATCAAAGGTGAATTCAAAGGAAAAAGCTTCATATATATTGCAAGAAAACCCAGAGCAAACAGAGCAGTGCATTTTATTGATGTTGAAAATACTCATCTACCAAAGATTGACTATTTAAAATATGTTTATCTGATTTGAGTTAAGTTCCCCTCTCAAAGCTGTATTCTGATAATCATTCTACTCTTTGTAACTGCTTTTAAAATGGGTCTCAACAGATTGCTATTGTCAAAGCTTCACAGTTTGACCTTAGAAATGCCTGAAGGAGGGAACACCCACATAACCTTGAACACTATAATGAAGAAAACAGCTGTCTTTCATTACACAGAGTGGAAAAATAAGGAGGAGGGGCAGGGGATGGGGGCTGGGAAAATACACTGACTGGGCTTAAACTAGTGGTGTTTCAAAACAATGTCTATGCTTCCTTGAGTCCCTCCTTATCTCCCTTATCTCTTTAAGTAAATACATACTTTAAAGTACACATTTTCACTCAAGGCTTCTCGAATAATTTCAATGACATCTCCATTTATCTGTTTTTTTGAGAACTGACTTACCCCTAGGGCTGCGGGGGCTCATGCGGTCGCTGCTCTGCTGCCGTGTCAGGTGATCCTTATAGCAGACGGAGCACATGCCATTGGTTCTCGGGTTGCCAAAGAAACCACAGCCAGTGGCACAAAGCACCGGGCTCTGGTTGGTCTCTTGGGCCATGTCTACAAGAATGAGAGAAACAGAGAGAGGATTTAGACTGACAGACGCACGAAGGGAGAACATTTTGCATCACAAACACCTCCATGTAAACTGAGGGCTGAATTGTTTCCGTCACAGGACACAATTTCCAGTGTAGACGCTGCCATCTTGCCAATCTCATTCCAAAGGAACGAGTTGCCGTGTCAACAAAGCCCGCAGATGGGAGTGATATTATGAAAATTCAAGAACAACATGCCTGGCTCGTTTGACTTGCCCTTTAGCCTGAATACAGTTATGAACGCTTCTCCGCTAGATCCAGAAAACAAACAGCCCTCGCTGTGTCTACTCAGCAGCTTGGCTGAAACTGGACTCTGTGCTGTCCTACGGCTCTGTTCAATGTTGTGTCCCCCTTTCTCCCACTCTCTCCTCCCCCACAGACCCCTTTCAAAATTCTTAGAAGAGTCTGTATGGCTTCTTAACATTTGACCCATTTTGCATTTTCATGTACATTTAGGAAAAGGTTTCATCAATTTCCATAGCTTGTCATTGTTTCGAAGCTGGCATCACTTCATATCTAGGGTTATTGTGTTATATGCGTCATCATTGTGTGTCATGATAATTATGACCCAATATGACTCTTCACAATTACTAACACTTCCTCATCAATGCATTCACGTCTTGACACAAAACAAAGCTCTGACTCACTGGCAGTATCTTGGCCAAAAACAGAACCAGAACAGTGACATAAACATACTGTTCTCACCACAAAGACACAAACATACTGTTCTCACCACAAAGACACACGATAGTGAATGAAAGGAATAAAGTTTCTAGAAAGTATTGCCCTCCCTTCTGGTAATTCTTGCCCCACAAGACATTTCAGTACCTCCCAACAAATACGCCCATAAACAAGTGTGTATGTGTGCGTAACTTGGCAAACCGTGTAGCCCTGTGACGTTGTTGTCCTGCTCTACTGCAATGCAATACAGCAGGAAGTTGTGTAATGGGAGGCTCTGCCTTTGAAGCAATAGATCAAAAACACCTTGATGAATGAACAAACAGACAGACAGACAGACAGACAGGAAGGCTTAGATTAGCTGGGTAAGAGGCATCCTGTCTGCCAGTCCTGCCCTGACTGTTTTACAAATAGTGATCGCCTGATACCAGACCTCCCCAGAAAAGAAAAACAACAAAGCCATCAGCGTACACATCAACACAACCATATTTTCCCCAGTAAACAACCCTTGGCCCTGTCGTGCTGTAACATGGCAGCTGCTTTCTTACTTGCGTTAGTGTGAAGCTTGTCTTTATTCTGGTCACGGACATAAACAGGACAGGCGACCTAATGTTCCAGGAAAGGCTGGCAGTTGTCTCAGAACGTCCTGTCAGTTCACTCGAGGTACCCTGGCCTCCCCAACAGACTAACAAGTGCCATTAAATCTTGAGCTAACCAGCAACCCCTCCCCTCCGCTCTTTATCTATCCCTGCATGCTATCACTGGCGTGTCAACAAAGGGTTTCCTTGGAAAATCCCACAAAGACCTTCTCTCCCTTTGCGTCACGTGTTCAACCGCTGACTGCTGAAAAACAGGACTAAAGACTGGGGTTGGTTACTACCGTGTAGATCAAAATGATGTATCTTTACATGCCAACATCAGTATCATTCTCTTTGACCCAAATATCTGTTAGTGACGTTGACAAGTACATTAGAACTGTAAGATGTAAGCTTAACGTCAATACCCCACAGTCCAGGTCAAGGTCTATGAATGGAATCAGCTCCTCAAAAGGAAGGATATCAATTCAAACGAAGACTACGTCACGTCTGACGAGAAAAACAACAAGATAAAACAAAGAACATGACAAGGACTATGGCTGTGAGCAGATTAGCCGTGGCTGCTGACTTTCTGACACAAAGGAACAATGGACAATGTAGCTCAGCTGTCAGGTTTGGACCCAGCTGTCAGACAAACAGCAGGCACTTTAACCTAACCTTTACTGAGACCTCTCACAAACAAGGATAATGCAGGAGGTAAAACCACTCTCGAGTTACCCTTGTTTAAATACCCTTAGCTTTCAACCCGACATGAATACACTGCATGCACACTGGAGGAGTTTTTAATCTTTGATGATGAAATGGGGTCCTTTAGGGAGACAAGCACACATGAAAGATAACTGATTATTGTTGTAAATGTTGATGTCTATCCTCAACTTGATCTACACGAACCTACTTTGATAGCTTCATTGTGGCTTATGAGCATAACAAAAACACATAGCCCATCTTGTTTCATCAAACTGGCAGTAAGTTGAAATGTCATAAATATGTCATTTTGCAACTTAGAGTGTATTGTAAAATACTGAACATCCGACAGGGTAAGTCAGGGGGTTTCCAGCTACAGGGCAGATTACAAGCCACAATCATTCACCACCAACTTCCTTTCACAAAATATAAAAAGCACTCACAGCAATAAAATGTGAAAAGTAGTCTGATTCGATATTGTGCACTTTGGACTTTAAGCGATCCCTTTAATTTTAACCGCGGTCAACATAGCTGTGATAATGTGTAGCAAACAAAAGGGGAAGGCAGTGCTCCTGTATCACACACAGGCTTAACGTTAGCTCATATTTCAGGGCCTGCTGGGCTGAAAACTACTGAGTCACAGTGAAGGACAGAACAGAACAATCCCAGTTGGTTTGTTACAAGCAGCAACTTATTCTCTTTAAAAAAGGGACACACTGTTGAAAATGATCATTTTAAATAGTTAGGAAGGCACTAGTAATGATGTTTTCTGAAATAACCCACAGTCTAGACAGTGTGGTCTCTGCTCCCTTTGTTTCTTCTTTACTCCTTTGTCTGCAATCTCTCTGCTTCCTGTTTAGACATCGTTTTGTAGGAGCTACTTTTTCGCAGTATTTAACATTATACGCATGTTCAACGTTAACAACCTCGACTAAATGATCACAATAACGTACTTGAGTTGACTTGGTGGTTACTGATACTTTGTATTGTCCATCCTGTGTTTTTCTAAATTGTAATTTGAATAATTTCTATCTCTAATATTTTAGGAATGCCTCTTAATAAGTATTTTGCCATTTTCGGCCCTTTATTTTTGTTGTGACTATGTACGTTTCCCCTGTGTGGGACGATTGAAGGTTTTCTGATACTGATTAAGACCGAGCAAACGTCGTTTTCTCCCCAGCTAAAACTAACGCAAACACTAGGCAAACATGTTCTGACAAGTTAATTGAATATTTAAGTAAATGTAGTACAATTTAGAACAGCACTTTCGTTCTACTTGTACATTCGGCTTATGCATTTTCTATTTCTAGACAGGAATTAGCTGGCTTTGGTTCCCCATCCCCCAGCTTGGAGCAAATAGAAAAACAGAGACAGCAACTAGCTATTGCTCCCTCCCTTGTTTTCCCCCTGAACCCAGACGGAGTCACGTTTGAAGGATTGTGATAACATTCAGTCAGGAGGTGTAGGTGATGGCATCTTCGCCAAAGACAAATAAAGCTTGTTTACCACACAATACCATCACGCACACATACACCCCCTGACCTTTCAATCCACCGTTAAAGGTCGCCGTGATCGACCCCCAGTTTAGTAAATCAGTAAAAACACCCATATTGTTGTTTACCTCGGCAAGCTGAGCCACCTTCGGAATTCATCGTTGTTAAGAAAAAAAATTAATCCAAGATCTGCCAAAAATCGACGAAGTGTTCTCGCGATATGTCAGGAAAAGTAGCCTGGCAGAAGAAAAAAGGTCGAATGTTTCAGTTCCTCCCTAACGTCCTTTAGCTATTTCTAGCTGTGTTTATGTGGCGTTGTCCTTCGTGTCAGGCAGGTTTTAAGGTGGGTTTTAAATCTCCCTTCCTAGCCCTCCTACCTCTCTCTCTCTTTCTCTCTCCTTCTCCCGTCCCTTCTGGATGGATGTTTGTTTCCTTCTTTAGTAAGAGGAGTGGCGGATGATGTCACTGGTAAAATACCGTGTTCCCATTGGCTGACCGCGGAGAGACACGACTGGGGGAGGTTGTGCGCATGCGCATGTTGTTCATATCGCATAGCGTTTATTACACATCCATTCGTCATCCTCCTACAAGGCCACGAATCTTTTATTTATTTATTGAGTAATCTACCTAAATCAATGCATTCACATTTGTTGGTAGGGATATACAAATCTATTCTGTTACTATTGCTAATTACATATGAAAAATGTAATCAGTAACCGAAATTATCATATAAAAACTAATATATAAACTCAATATCAAATGCAATGCCATAAACAAGGCTTTAACTTGGTTGTTTTCTATTAGAAAACAGAACAATGTGACCTTAGAAGAGAAAAGAGGCCATAATGATGAACTACAAGATTAGGTATCAGTCGAGAGTCGTTTCACTAAGTCTTTCAGGAAGTGTTGTAATGTGTGCGCATGTTTTTCTTAATATATTGTTCTTATTTCAAAATGTATTGTAATGTTATCCTGCTAGAAATGCCTATTTTTGAAAAATGTAGCAGTAATGATTGTATTTTCTTTATGTTACTGTAAAGGAACACAGTAGGCTACCTTTTTCTGTATCCTTATCACATATTCCTGTTACACATATATTGTTACTCCCCAAGCCTGCATATATTATGAATAGTAGTGCTGACATGACAGAATTGGAAAAAAAAAGTATGATCTAGAGGATAATCCCTTGGTAATGCCTCTTTGTTCAAGACTATGTCTGTCACAGGGCACTATTTGTTGTTAAAGCCTCGCCCCTCCTGCCACCTAGAATGATTATTTATGTCACAGGAACAAAACAAGATGTATACTTACAATGCTATGCAAGCCTGTTTGTTATGGGAGAATGTGACGCTAGGCTGCTCACCCTCCCTCCTGCATACACACAAACAAACAAACAAACACACAGACACACTCTATGGTTGTCATCGAGAGTGTAAACTTGTTTTCCGTGATGTAATAACAGACAAGAGCCAAACAGGAGTGTTGGGTAATACCAGGGCCGGGATCACATACTGATACCAATACTTTTTAATAATTAGTATTGGTTAATGTGCATTCAATTATATGCATTTGCATAGGCCCATTCAAGTTTCCTTTGTAATGGGTGTATTAATGAATTTAATAACTAAAAAGCATTTTTTCCCCCACTGTTTTTCTACTCTGTTATTGCAAGTTCAAATACAACCCTTTTCTGCGGATGATATATATACTCTATATAAAACCTTTATTTAATCAGCTAATCTCGAAGATTTTTAATGTGTAAATTAATGAGTTTTCATGTGCCCAGAATGTGATCTATTCAAAAACTGATCGAATGTTTTGGTTTTGATTGTCCTATTCTTGCTATTATCACTTCAAAGCAAACTTTAATCTGTACTATCAATACTTTATTTTAGCCACCCCTGATGACCCTCATTTACCTAATTCAGTACCTGCTGCCAGGGATGTGTACAGATAGAATTTTAAGAGGCCGCCCCTCCCACCACCTCCAACCCAATTTTGGGTGTCACCCCTGTCTTTTACGGCTTGCTCCATCTCTTTTGCCCACAGAGGCATTAGGGGCTACTTGTATTTACGTAACCACAACAGCAAATATATATTTATATACATACTATATTTTATTTTCAAAATTATGAGCAAGTCCCTGACCCAAACCCTTAATCTTAACTATCACAACTTCATGCCCAATCCCGACATCTACAGAAACTGAACACCCAAATAATCTTAACCTTTTGGTGTGTCTGGGCCTTTTTAAAACCAAATCTTAACCGCCAAACAACAGATCTGGCTGAAGTGACACATAGAAATGATCTACAAACCTAAAAAATGTCCTCAATTGGAAGGTTTAAAATGGTCCTCACAACAATGTTATGTAAAAGACCACACACACACACATATATACACACACAGGTGCACTTCTGTATGTGTAAACATGTTATGTGCGAGGCTAGGAAAGATATGAGCAGAGCGAGAAGAGATCAGGACGATTTCAGGATGTACTGTTGAGAAATGGTTGTGTAATGTATTTTAGCTGTCACTAGTTTCAGTTGGTAAACAGGGTTGTAGCAACAACTGAAAACCATGATGTCATATCCTCGTCATTGTTTCATGGAATTAATAACTGTTTGAGAAGATACTGTTTTACAATTAAAATACATGTTGTTTGTGGCATTGTGGGGGAATTGTTTGATACAATATCAAGAAAAATCTGAAGTGGGATACACTTATAAAGAATTTCACAGTTGAATGAATGTACAAATAGTGGGAAAATAAAAATTGTTTTGGTGCCTAGGGAGACTGAGTAATTTTCAGTAGTATTACCTAAAATCCTGGTATAACAGCTTTGGTACTAAACATATTTATATTGAATGTATACAGTATTGTGATCTGTGTCTGTTATTTTGTTTTATTCTTCTAAATTGTACATTCACCTGCTGTTTTTAACACCAACAGCAACCTGAGGGCATCATCTCCCGGTCCTGTTTTTGTGAAACATGAAAACACGTTCCTTTCTTTCCCTTGCAGGGTGTCATACATGCTGTATAGATAGTTGTATAGCCTGCAGGTCAAACAAGTCCCAACGTATTCCCTCAACGTGTCAGTATAACGTAACACTTCCCCAGGCACTATACAGGCCCTGCTGAGCAGAAAACAAATACTCTGGGTAGGGCCTGGTGGTGTTTGTGAGTGTGTGTGAGTTGTAAAGAACATGCAGTCATATATCAGTGAGTGAATTTGTGGAAACTTAGACAGCTAGTACAGTCTGGAAGTCATTGGCTGATACAGTTGGTCAGTTCCAGTTCAAACCAGCATTCAAGAGAACACTGTAAGTGGCATAAAAAGGTGAAGCCAAGTGAAAGTAAAAGTAGGTGCTCCTGCAGAACTTCCCCTGACTTTTTAAGGGGAATAAACCAAACACACACGCACACACACACACACACACACACACACACACACACACACACACACACACACACACACACACACGCATTCACAGCACGAGGCGCGAACGGGA